GCTGGTCACATTACCTGATCATTGTCCATTAAAGTCATAAGTGACTCGACTGTGGATTAACTTGATGGTTGAGAACAGCTCAAAGTCTTTTTCTGCCCAATTAGCTAAACTGAACACTTTTGTAACAATAGAAATGAGCTTTTAAACATTTTGTCAACGTCAGAAAAGAAGACCATTTGCATACTGCATTCATATTTCTGTTCAGTGTATTTTGAGTGAGTGCAAAACAGTGAATTATTGCCACATTGAAACAATTATCACGCTGCTCTCTGTGGCTGCGTTCTCCTCGCAATCAAGTGTGGCTGTATGAAACAGCGACACACACTTTTCTTGTCCTATAAATGTTCTACAAATTGGTTCTTGTCAGGATGACATTTCTTTGCTTGAGAAGAAATGAGCTGAGAGGCTCAACTGAAATTTAAATATATTTAGTCATGTCAAATTAGGCCAATTTGATCCGTATGTTCTCATATCACAAATCACAAATTTGAATTGTGGGGCTTTACAATCTGTCCACCGCACACTCAAGCCATGCATATCATATGCTTGACTGAGATAACTAAAAGCCCTTTAATAGTGGTGGGAAAAAAGGGAAAACTCTCATTAAGAGCAACAGAATAGTAATCCCTTTATCCATAATGGACAGACACGCAATAAAATGTGATGTGGCAACTCTCAGGTGCAGCCGACCAGAGAGGACCTGAGCAGCATCCACCGTGGCGACCTGGAACGAGGACAGGTGACACAAAAGCACCAGAGGTAAAAAACCCAGGCGTGTGTCCTTCACACAGAAAGATGAGGAAAGACAGAAACCAGGAGGGTGAAATGGAGCCAAAAAATCCACTGCATTATTCACACAGGTGACAGAGAGAATTTAGATTTGTGCAAAGCTCTCATTTGAGTAGTCCTGCAAAATTCTCAAGAGGAAAAAAAAAACATGCAACAAATCAAATTATCATACATCAGCTGACAGATAATGAATGTGAGGCCTGTGGGGCAGACGGTTATTGCTTTAAAGTTATCGGGTTTGCGTGCATTTGCCGCATGTTGATGCTGATGCAGGAAAACATCATATTAACACGATGATAAACTGAGCCACGGCTTTACTGCAATGTATCAGAAAATACAATCGTGACACTGAGAGGATTCACTGACTTTAGATGATCAGTGAGTTTAATATTGACAGCAGTGGGCGCCTCCTGGTTCATATTTTAAATTCCTCTCTCCTATTTAAGCCTCCTCCTGTCTGGAAACTACCTGACCTGAAAAGACCCCTGTAACAGTTTTTTTCCAAAGCAAACCAGAAGCTTTTTCTCTCAGTGTGTGTCTGTCTGCCCAGTGTCTGGGTATGGATTCGTTACTGTATGGCAAAAGAACACCGAGTTTTCTTCCCAATACACTAAGAAAATTGCTTTTCACCTATTCTCCTCTATACAAATCCCCACACAGCAAAGAAGAAGGAAAAAAGAAGTCAGTGCTACAGCTTGTGTTTCTAGTGCCATGTGGAAATGTCTCTCACCGAAAGACCGTGCTAAAGAGATGAAAAGCAAAACAGAAAACAATATGTCATAAGTGGCTGTGCGCCACTTGAGACTGCTCCAAGCAAATAACAAATCCATTTCATTACTGTTTATGAGAAGTTTCTCCAGCGAGAGAGCAAAGACAAGGATTGCTGTTCTCCAGACACCCTCCTCCCTTTTCCTCCCTACACATCTCCAAAGAATCTCATCTTTCTTTTTTCTTTTTTTTTGTCCTGAAATTAGACTTCACGATAAATTCTTGAGCTGCAAGGGGATTTTTTGTTGTTGTTGTGCTTCACCTGTCAGCGCAGAGGAGCCCCCGTGCCTCATGAATGGATCAAACCAACTGTGCCGATAGTGTCGCTTCTCATTTTTTGCGCGTCAGAGCAGATGAATGAAGCTGAGTGAAGCAACAGCGGCAGTGACTGCAGCAAGCAGTGAAATCCCTATTTGCGCTCACTGGTGTCTAATTGCAGGTAAGCTTCTTTTGTTCTGCGTGGGAAAAATTGCTTTAATTCCTCCTTTCTTCTCCTTCGGAACAATGAAGTGCTTTTTAAATGAGAAAAAAGAGCAGAAACCGTGAGAAAATGAAATGATGATTAGAAGTTTGGAAAAAATGATTCCACTTTGGATCACACTGTTACATTCATTTCCTCACCTTGGTGCATTTTTCTTTTATCGATTCAGGGTTAAGTGCCATGACTGCCGATGCCTTTGCGCGCGGCTGAATATCAGATAAATGCGCGGATGTCAGCTCATTTATTGCGCGTTAATTAAAGCAGCATGTGCCAGAAATTCCAGCAGAACTGTTAGAATGGTGTGAGAACATGTTGCAGCTTGTTCTGTGGCGCAAGAAAACGGACCAACAATCATGTTTTCTTTTCTCAGATGAAGTTGGAGATGCAGATGGGGGAGAAAGACGCATTCTAGGTGAAGCTGGGATTTTATTTCTTTCTCATTGTTTTCTTGTTATCCGACGTTAATGATGTTCCACCAGCTGACGGATCAAACAGTGAACGACAGCTGTCAGCAGGAACTCACCTCGGTGTGCAACAAGAGCGCAGACGGAGACGCGCTCCAGCTGCCCACTTTCTCCACCGCGGCCAAAGTGCGCGTCATCATCACCTTCACCCTGTGCGCGGTGTCGGCCGTGTGCAACCTGGTCGTGCTGTGGGCTGCGTGCAACGGCGGCAAGCGCAAGTCGCACGTCCGGATCCTCATCATGAACCTGACCGTGGCCGACCTGCTGGTGACTTTCATCGTGATGCCCGTGGACGCGGTGTGGAACATCACGGTGCAGTGGCAGGCCGGGGACGTCGCCTGCAGGCTGCTCATGTTCATGAAGCTGGTGGCCATGTACTCGTGCGCTTTTGTCACCGTGGTCATCAGCCTGGACAGACAGTCCGCCATCCTCAACCCTCTGGGCATCAGCGAGGCCAAGAGGAAAAGCAAAATCATGTTGACCGTGGCCTGGACCATGAGTGTGATCCTCTCGCTCCCACAGGTAAGAGTGGAAACAGATTGCATGTGGGGCTTCACACCACACACACGTCTCCACACACCTCTCCACGCTCTGCTTGCATCTCTGTTTGTGCCTCTTAGCAGGAGACCTTGTTCAGAAAGCACCTGGAGACTTTGTTTTGTGCTCCAAATGCAAGCACAAGGTTCAAATAAAAATATAATAATGTGCAATCCAGCTGTCAGCAGTGAATACATTTGTACCTAATGTGATGGGATTTGTTGGCGCCTGCGGGTGAGGTTGCACCGTCTGAGGCCTGTTTTCTTTACCGAGCACACACTGATGATGAGCAAGAAAATGTTTCAGTTGCTTGGACCAATTCACTATGGAAATGAGCTGTTTGTGGTCTCTGTGTGGCCCTGTCAGTAATTTTTCTGAGGATAATGAGTATCTTTGGCTAGAATGTTGGAATGAAGGCTGTGAGTCTCTCTTCGGTAATAAATAAGGGAAAGAGGAAAGATGATTCTTGAACAATTAACATGAAAGGTTGAAAGGGTCAAACAGCAAAACACCTGCAAAAGTATCAGACAGAATAGAGACGTGTAAAATGAATGAGATCTGGAATAGGTGAGATCACACTTCTCCTTCAGTTTATTCAAGTCAAACTGCTCATTCTCAAACAGGAAATAAAGAGGAAACGTTGTTCAAAATGTGCTGCAAATTCTTCAACAGGTTCTAGGAATTAACTCATCTTTTCTTACAGCTCATCTTTAAAACTTCTTAACATTAGTTGTCCAACTTGAGGTGTTTTGACTTTAAATTATGAGGTGAATTAATCTACAGCTGAGAGTTTGATCAACGTATTAAAGTTTGTAAAGAACCAGAACGACAGCAGACTTCCAATCATGTTCTGTTTGAGAATTAAAACTTCCCGTGCACCGTCTCTTCTAGTCCAAAGAGTTTAAAGTTCACATAATAATGAGAACAGCTCAAACAGTGAGAAAGGTTAGTAATAAAGTCAGTCCCCCTGTACATTTATGTTAAAACGGAGTAGCTGGACACAGTCACGCTTGTTGTCTTGGATACAAAATGTTGGTATAAAACACTTGCAGCTGATAGTTCAAATAAAGACCTTAAATTTAACAAATGCAAAAGGAAAGCAAGTTGATTCGTTTAATTTCTTAAGCTGACTGAACTTGTTAAATCAACTAGTTTTACATTTCAAAACTTAAACGTCGACGCTGGAATAAGTTCAGTAAACACAAGACGGCAGAGGAAGTTCTGTTTCTAAGTTAAACCAACTTGTGATAATTTCACAATATGTATCTTATCTCTTCAGACCCGAGCTTTTGTTTGAAATGCATTTTTTCTCTTTGCTATTTGATCTGATCAAAGAATAAAATAGTGATGCACGATGTTAAAATTTCTGGCCGATACCGATATCTGATATTAAGATTTCCGACATCGCTGATAACCGATATTACCGATGTCGATATTCAATTATTGTTCACACAGAAAAATGACTATAAGAAAGCACTGTGAGAACATGAAAACTATTCAAAAGAAGCCCATATCAAACTAGACCACATAGTCTTCTTTATTACGAAAGTAATAATAAAGTATTGCAAAAGTAAAACATATTTAAACATATTTTAACATATTTATTGTTCAAGTCAGGAACATTTAAGTGAAAACATCTGTGAAATAGCAGCAATATCAAACATAGAGACGAAGGCGCTAATGTGAGACAATCATCGGTTTTTCACGTCGGCGAAATTTGTTTGTCAGACCGATACCGATATATCGAAAAAAACACTAATATCGGCCGATACCGATGTGGTCGCCGATTTATCGTGCATCCATACAATTACAAATATACAGAAAATAAAAATAGATTTTAAAAAATATATGAAAAATAGGGCTGCAAGGTGACACAGTTGGTAGCACTGTTGCCTCGCAGCTTGAAGGTCGCCGGTTTGCATCCCAGTGGGGGCACCCTTTCTGCGTGGAGTTTGCATGTTCTCCCTGTGCAGTGTGGGTTCTCTCTGCGTTCTCCAGCTTCATCCCACAAGGTCCAAAAACATGTTGAGGTTAGTTGGTGGTTCTAAATTGTCCGTAGGTGTGAATGTGAGTGTGCTTGGTTGTCTGTTGTTGGTGCAGTCATGCCTCGGAGTAAGATTTTGAGATACCGGTAAAAACGGAAGAAAAACTCAAAAAACAGTCATTGCGTTTGGCCTGCATGCAACAAGTTGTTCTGAATGAGCAGCAGCCATTTATTGTGAATTGCGCACCGGTGTGTAGCCCCGCCCACACCCCAAAAGTAGGTCACTGGGTCAGTTAAGAGCATTCATAACAACAGTTCAACATCTGTCTCTAAGTGTAGCCCTGTGATAGACTGGTGACCTGTCCAGGGTGTCNGTTTTACATTTCAAAACTTAAACGTTGACGCTGGAATAAGTTTAGTAAACACAAGACGGCAGAAGTTCTGTTTCTAAGTTAAACCAACTTGAGATAATTTCACAATATGTGTCTCATCTCTTCAGACCCGAGCTCTTGTTTGATGTGCATTTTTTATTTCTCTTTGCTATTTGATCTGGTCAAAGAATAAAATAGTGATGCACGATATTAAAATTTCTGGCCGATACCGATAACTGATATTAAGATTTCTGACGTCGCCGATAACCGATATCACCGATGTTGATATTCAGTTTTTGTTCACACCGAAACATGAGTATAAGTAAGTACTGTGAAAACTATTCAAAAGAAGCACATACCAAATTAAACCCCATAATCGTCTTTATTACGTAGCAAAAGTAAAACATATTAAAACATATTTTAACATATGTAACGTTCAAGTCCAGGAACATTTAAGTAAAAACATCTGTGAAATAGCAGCAATATCAAACATAGAGATTAAGGCGCTATTGTGAGAAAATCATCGGTTTTTCACATCGGCTAAATTTGTTTGTCAGACCAATACCAATATATCGGAAAAAACACTAATATTGGCCGATACCGATGTGGTCGGTACTTGCCTCGCAGCAAGAAGGTTGCCGGTTCGCGTCCCGGTGGGGGCACCCAGGATCTTTCTGCGTGGAGTTTGCATGTTCTCCCCGTGCAGCATGGGTTCTCTCTGCGTTCTCCAGCTTCCTCCCACACAGTCCAAAAACATGTTGAGGTTAACTGGTGATTCTAAATTGTCCATAGGTGTGAATGTGAGTGTGCTTGGTTGTCTGTTGTTGGTGCAGCCATGCCTCGTAGTAAGATTTTGAGATGCCGGTAAAAATGGAAGAAAAACTCAACAAACAGTCATTGCATTTGGCCGGGCGTGCAACAAGTTTTTCTGAATAAGCAGCAGCCATTTATTGTGAATTGCGCACCGGTGTGTAGCCCCGCCCACACCCCAAAAGTAGGTCACTGGGTCAACTAAGAGCATTCATAACAACAGTTCAACATCTGTCTCTAAGTGTAGCCCTGTGATAGACTGGTGACCTGTCCAGGGTGTCTCCTGCCTTCACCCTGAGTCAGCTGGGATAGACTCCAGCCCCCC